AAACATAAAACGTATAGCATTTTATTAAGTCTCAAAGAATTTAATCAATCATTCAATACACGTATATAAGCAATTTCAATTACAAAAATAATACACACAAAAAAGATTTTTAAAAGCACATGAAAAACAAATAAACAAGTGGAAAGTTTTCATCGGGCATTTTTCAACTGAAAGCCCGCTGTTTGGTGCCAGCTAAATTGTTTGAGTAATTTCAGGAACTTATACAGAGGAAAGTATGAGAAAGTTGTCCGTTCTCGCCCCTGCCATATTGGTCTTGGTTTTAAACGGTTTGTTTTTAATTTTATTTGTACACAGCGGGCTTTTGTATTTAGAAACCGGTGTTATTATGATGAAAAGGAGTTCAGTCAAAAGCATAAACGGTCATTTCGATAAAAATATTTATATGTAGTTTTTTTTTAAGGATTATAATAATAATTGCCTCGCCATCACAGGATATCCTGTGTTCTAAAAAATCAGGCAAAACGGACATTTGGGGGTACAACCGAGAAACCAGAATTGCAGTCTACATTACATGACATCTTTTGGCAACACTCCCTAATAGGAGGAGACCTATGTTCAACATGGTGATGATGATGACATTTTCACAAATGTCTGCTACTCTCTCGAGTTGACTTCACAACCCTCAGTAGACCCTCTATTCTTTACTAATAATATAAATATAAAAGTGATTGATTTGTTTGTAACATTCTGACGCCTTAACTGCTAAACCAATCGTCATGAAATTTTGTATAGATATACTATATGGAATGGAGAACGATATAAACTACTATTTATGTATTTGTTGTATCACCCATTAACTGTCCACTGCTGAACATAGCCTTCCTCATAAGAGGGAGTTTGCCAGTAGTTGCCACGCTTGGCAAGCGTGTTGGCAAAGACAACTTGGCTTTTGGTTATGATTTAAGAGGGATGCTGCTTCACATCCCTTCACCATAAGCTCCCTTGCCTCATTAATGCATTTACGGCAAATAAATTAATCCCTGTGCCGCAGTACATTTTCGCAGGCAAAAGCAAGGCTAGAAAAAGGTGCAGTATAATATTTCCAGAACTATTTATTCTAGTTATATATTTCTAATATTGTTTAAAATGCTAATGTATTACCAACTTAAAAAACATTGGTTTCCAAAAGTGACAAAGATTGAAGGATTGAAATAATCAACTAAAACATTATTAAGTGCTTACATTCGAAGTAAAATAATAAAAGAACATTATTTCACGTCGTTGCATTTATTTCGATGTTGCTTCAGATGTTTAAAGAGTGTAAATTTTCATCCAAAAGTATTGATTTCAGTGAAACTTAACAGAAAAATATGCTTACATCACAGAGCCTTTGTCTCCGGTCATGACAATCAGAGCTAAAATATATGGAAAGCAACTTTGTATCATACTAATACTTACTAAGATATAGTACGTAGTATTTTGCATAATGATCATCGGTATCTATACACAGCTAAGCCATAAGTGACGAGACCTTTCCTTAAGGCAGTTTACCATTGGGAAGATTTTGCTAGTAGTTACCGCCCTTGGCAGACGGATTATCAACAACAGTTTGGCTTTCCGTAATATTTCAAGAGACGCTGCTATCCATTCCTAAATCATTACGTTCATTTAGTCACCTCTTACGACTTCTATAAAAAAAAGAATGGGTGGTCCATTCTATGTCGGGACCATACGATAATATAATGATGGGCATACGCTGCTTATTATCCCGGTCAATCAATATACCATAAAGTTCTTTTTTCTGTTTATTTTTTAAAAAATTTTTGCATATTGAGAAATATAACTTCATTATTTCTACACTAAACTATCATAGAGTAACGTTGCAGTTACTAAGAGTTGACTGGGAGAGAATGCCATTAACTAGTTAGTTGATATTTTTTTTTAAATCTGCTACCATTAATAGGTATGCGTGTGTTAGATATTTTTTTAATTATATTAGTTTTCTAAACTTAAGAAATAAGGTAAATTGAGTCTTATAGATATTGTACTGTGATATATTATGTACTTCGAGAGCGAAGTACATTTCAGAATGGCCGTGTTTGATATTTATTTTCAATTATATTAATTTTCTTAAACATCATGTGTCAAAATGTGTACCTACATTTATTAATAAAAATCAAAGTAACTACTTCAAATATAATAAAGTATTAAAATTGTTATTATACCGAATTTGGTAATAAATTATTCTTGTAATGATATATAGAACACTAATTTATATTTTAATTGATTTTATAATTATTTATTATCATGATAATTAAATAAAATGTAATGAAATTGTAAGAACACGTGGTCTCACTGACTTGTTTACTCGAATTCGTCCGTGTGGATATAAAAGATTGTCATTTGGGTGGGGAGATACTTCTTGTCCAACCGCTGAACAGACCAGAGCTCCCTGATGTATCAAGAGCGAACAAGTATAGTGAACCACGTGGTTATTATATAAAATATATCATAATTATTATTGATGGAAGTCCTAAAGAAACTATAGTTAAATAAGTGTGAATGGATTAACAGAAGTTGGGTATTTATGTTATATTATTATAAATAATAATAACCATTTTGAGACGTGCGACTGCCAACATTCGAAAATTAACAACTATCTTTATTACCACAAGTTCTATAACGTTCTATATTAGTCATTAATTAATTTTTATTTTGTTAATGTCATTAGCATAAAACCCGCCTTTTTACCACATTTATTAGTCAATAAAGTATAAATAAATAAAAAATGGGTTTCATAGTGTAATCCGTAATAGCGATCGTGCATGTTGTAAATGTGAAAGTGAATTTGTTCATTATTTCTTAGCATCTTAATAGCTCAACCGATCGCCAAGAAATTTTTCATAAATATAGTATTTGCGACATAGGCGACTTTTTATCCCGGTCATGCTGACAAAGTCATAAATAAGTTAATATTAATATTATAAACTAATTTCTATTCGCGACTTCAATCACGTGGTTCCACGTAAACTTTTGCGATTGACCGGGATAAAAGTAGCCCTTGTCCTTTTTCATCCCCAATAATATATGTGTCAAACTTCATGACAGTTGGTTGAACGATTAAAACGCCAAGACTACTAATGTTAGAAATGCGACAAAGTCGCCGGGGAAAACTAGTTAAAAATAAAATATAATACGTCTATCTCCATATTAACTCATCCCGTCATTCGGCTATCCGCCAGAGCGAGACAGAACAACACGCGCAAGCGAGACGGCAACACATAATCCACTTATACGTTACGGTCGGGTTGTTCTCATACATTTTTACTGAAGAAAATTCGGGAATACCCTTATTGCATATTAAGCCGGGTCTGGAGCTATTTGCAATGAAGTATCGGACGATATTGAAATGAAATTTTCCGGTATGTAGATTTTGCGGATAACGAAGGTCCCGTACTCGTAGATATGACCCTTCTTCAGTTTACCGGGGCGGATTATTGTTCAGAATACTTTTTAATAATAACCCGAATTTTTTGTTTGTGTGCGTGTTGGAATCTACGAGGGGATATTCCAAAGCCAATCTATGAAGTGTCCATTGATATATATTTCTAATTTTAGTAAACTAAATACATATATATGTATGTATATACATAAATGGGCGGCGGTGATAATTTACCATCAAGTGAGCCGCTTGCTGGCCTTCTGTGTTATAAAAAAAAATTATAATGATTATTTTTTTAAAACTCCTAAGTAGAACGAATATTCATTGTATGTATTTAGTTCTAGTAGATTAGTAAGATCATACCTTAAATTACAGAGATAGAGTGAAGAGTATCAAAAACGTGTTAAAATATAGTCAATTAATTTGATATTTGGGTGGCACCTTTTTTTTATAACAAACGCGCTTTTTTCAGTGTTGCAAGTAATTGGATTAAACATTTTCCAAATCATGTCAATTGTTTAATTTGAGTATGCAATTACAAATATACATATATACGTGTTGCTTTTAAATTAATATACATGTATTAATTAAAATGGCGGTCATTTTAAATGATTCAGAAACGAAAACATATATTATGACTATATCAATACTCAGATGTAAATCAAAATATTCACTAAACGTAAACATCATTACGAATCATTATGCACTGTTTATCTTGTTTTTTTTAATCTATTCGTAAGAATTTTGTCGTTAATTTTTATTTTTCATTTTATTCTAATAATATAAATTTCTCCCATATACTTAGTATTAACTTTACAAACTGGTAACTCGGTGTACACACACATAGATAAAGAAGATGACCTGTTTTTGGCGAAGTATTTGTATGAAAACGCTTAATCTATATAATCTAAGTTTCATACATGATGCTTTCACTGTATCATCGTTGTCCACAAACTCCAATAATACGTGCATGCTACAGCGCCAATCTCGTATGATTGCGTCAGTGCAAGCGCAGTGGTATTAGACAAAATTCAATTTTAAAAAATTTGTGCGTTTCTAATTAATTATTTTTAATAAATAATTTGCCTATTCCGTATACAAATATCATCGTTATAATTACAGCCAATATTTGTCTACCGCTAAAGTTAGACCCACTATGGACTGTCATAAGAAACTGTCTCAAGCTGTCTGTATGATGATATGACCCAAGCTTGGATTATATAGATAAGAGTGTCCCTATAAAAATGCTTCGAGAAAAACGGGTCAACTATTTCATACAATTTTACGTGATGAATAATTGAATAAGCAGTTTCTTTATAACTTCTATATTTATTTTGTCTTATAGTATCTTTTTAATGCATGAACACTCGTTTTATATATTAAATAATACGTCAAGATACATTTTATGCGTAAATATATAGAATACTGATAAAAAAAAAAAAAACGAGTCAGCTAATTTGTCAATTAGCTGACAAAACAGTTGAGCCGTTTTTAAGGCTCGATGCTCTATCTATATAATCTAAGAACACAAGTATATCTACTACTAATAATAACATAACCTACAAAAACGAAGGACATCTAACTATACACCGCGTACCTCTTCACATGTCTGCGTTGAACTCCAACTGACTATTCTGACACCTGCTGTCATAACCGTTGCACTTTACAACTGAACACACATTCTGACACACTATTGCCACCACAACAATAGCTGCTACAGACTTTTGATAATCCAACTTGGATTGGACTATATATAGACAATATAATTAAAAGAGCCGCTTAAGCTAGCAGTCTGTCCCCGACAACACCCCAGCCTGCACTGGTGGGTTAAATGAGAAAGATTTCTCCTATTTCTTCCCATTCGAGAGAGAATATAAAACTCTTTTTCGCCTTTTTTTACTTCCAACTTCGTCTTAATATGCCACCCGCTCGGACCTTGCCGCATTGAATTATGAAACGTATAGAGCGGGCGGCTTGTGAAAGAACTACTATATCTGTACATTTACACTTAAATGAGATAGTAAAGTATGTACTAGTGTAAGGGAGCTGTTACTATTTTCAACCGACTTTAAATAAAAGGAAGTTCTCAATTCGGTCGTTTTTAGTTTATGTTTGTTACCTTATAACTCCGTCAGTTCTAAACCGATTTGGAAAATTATTTGTTTATTTAAAAAGATATTCTTAGAGATTGATCCTCATAGAAATTTTATCAAAATTTGTTCAGTAATTTAGTTTTTAGATCAAAATAACTGGTTTTATTAAATTTGAAATCGATATTTTTGTGTGATAAAATCTTTAATTATGTATTGAACAGAAACTGTCGAATAATTTATAACAGATACGCTATTCTAGTTTAATTTAATTGTGTCATTTCCTTTACAAATCTATCATGTCGTATTAGAAGAAGTAGTATATGTCGTAAGGATTTATATCTTAAGAAAGTTTTCAATGTCAATATATTATAAAAAAGGATACAAACATAAAAAAAAAAATACATAAATAACTATGCAATCATTTTCATCACTCACAACATTTAATAACATAATAGCGTATGACACATCTTAGAATATCTTAAAAGCTTAGTATGACGTAGTTATAGTATATAGGTCCTTGAATAAAACGATTGAACACATACTTATCCATTTTCTTGGAACGATAGTTATTACTGATTCAAAAAACATTATACCATCATACTTGAGTTGGAAAACATCGCTTTGTTTTATAACTAGTAACGTGTAACCAGAGAGAGACTTTGTACAAAAGTCGTTTGCTTGGGTGACTCTGTCTCATTCGTGTTTCAATCGTAAAGCAGTTGTATTTGCATGGCTGTGTTTCGGTTTGAAGAATATAGCGTGAATTTACAGGGTACAGAGGAATAACACCTGAGTCCTCAGGAATGGCAACGCATGGGAGGTATCACGGGCGAAACAGTATACTCTATTATGTCCATGGCACTGCTCATGTCTTAGGTTTACACTTTCACTCAGGTGGGCCGTCAGCTTGTTTGTCATTCTAAGTTGTATAAAAAAAAGTGTATTATCAATTATTTGTGTGTAGTAGGCATGAATAATATCGGTACTGCTGTGATATCTAGGTATATATTAGGTACTTCTGGACATTGATGGCGGGAAAACTCGTCACCCATTTCAATATCGTCAGTCGAATATCTATACTCAATTCCATACTGTATATATTACAACCGATATTTAATATATCCCCTATTTAATATATTGTAACTACAATATATAGGTATTTCTATATATTACTTACCCCTCGATGTGCCAGCTAACAGACTATAAATCTAGGTACCTATCTAATCGTAAATAATACAACTAATAAATTTGCATTTTTCTATAGTTACAGCTTTTGATAACATTCTAAAATACTCATAAACAACCTACAATACCTTTAATATAATATTTTATTTAAGACTAACAACCTGTCTTGGCTTCGCACGGTTTTTTTAAATACAGCCTACAAGTATATTTCTCACTGATGTTATAGCTTTCTATATGTTTTTTTGTGCAACTTACAATGGCAAACAAGCTAACAACCCATTTGATGGAAAGTGTGTGTAAAATATGAAAAAATATTTAAAACTGGTTAAGAATTTTTTAAATTTATCTATTACAAATAGTCATTTTTCCTCTTCATAATATGTATTAGTTTGAGAAGTCTATCTACATACATATGTCATTGATATACAACTATGCACATAAATTGAATTTACCTCCTTATATATTCCCAATTTAAAATATAGTGTTATAATGATTTATATCTAAAAACTAAATACAATTATTAAAATAAACAGTCAATTAAATAAGTACTAACTCGTAATGTTGGCAATAAATACCTGTCACATATCATTATTATGTCAAAAGCAAAAAGCGCCTTCAACATAAGATATCAATGTATATATTATATGTATTTAATTCTATAAGTATGTAAATACTTTAAAAATAATGTGACATCCATAATTAGTATCCATTGTCATCTTCATCATTCTACGAATGTAAAGATCTTAAGATGTATACGTTTAAACGGCTGAACCGTTTTGTATGAAATTTGATACACGTGTGTTACACATGTATCCTAATTTAATACATATTTCCGTCGTCAACTTGTTTGCCATTCTAAGTTGTATAAAAAAAATTTCAATGAATAGATATGAACTTAATTCGTTTAGGTCAAAAGCTTACAAATGGGAAATAACTGCAATAAAAAAAAACATAAAACATATGTATATGTATATTTATGTGCCTATATATAATAATACATGATTCAAGAGTGTTCTTTTTAATGAAATGTGATGGAAGCTGTTGAGCAGTGGACGATAGGTTCAAATTATGGTGATGACATTCAAGTATTTACATTACGTTTAATGTCAAAGTAATTTATGGTTAACAGACTTAATTTATGGCTTAGCATTTCAAATAATACGTAATTAACAACATGTAAATATCATCGTTTATGTGTTTTTACAATTTTACGATGGACCAAGGATCAAAGTGTTTTATGTTTACCTATCCATTAGGTAGGTACTACATCAAGTATTATATACCTGTAATACCTGTATATAGCCTATTAATAATATTTTATAATTTCATTCTTTTTTCTTACTACAGAAATTAAAAAAAAAATCTAGCTTTAATCTAATCTAATAATCTAGTTTGCAAATCGGCAATATAGAAGTAGGTATGTAGGTACTATTTACTTGCAAATTTTTCATCATGTTAAGTCCAGATAGTGTATTTAAAATATGTATAAATAACACGAAGCCTTTAAATACCATTTTTTGTGATAATTCCAAGATATCGTTTTACAGGAACTCTAGTAGTTTTCAAAGTCTACACTTAAGGGGTGGTTGTGTTAATCGCGGGGCGGCCCCTCTCTTCGTTAGTCTAGAATTAATTCGTTGATAAGATGCCGCGCCTCCCGGCTACGTCTCGGGATCACAGGGCTGCCACCAACGGGAAATTCAAGAAAATTTACAATAAATACTACGACTATACGTGAGAACTCGATCTTTTTCAGCTCACACTAGATTTCAAAGAGCAATTATATTATTATATTCTTTATTGGACTTGTAAATTACATTGTTAACATATTTATAAATATTGTGAGCAAGGGTGTACTTATCTCTGACAGAGATCTCTTCTAGTCAACCCAATGCAGTTAGAAAACATGTTGTTAGCTGGTAGCTGAAGTGCTACAACTATTAATATTAAGAATACATAAATATGTGTACATATTTATATATAAATTATTTTTACTGTATATCCTTATATCATGCTCATGGGCGGCCCCTTTGATCCTTCAGTTCATAACCTCATTTCGAGTTCTGTTATGCATTTTAATAAATTACTTGACCATCAAATTGTGACAACCCTGAAACTTGAGAGCAAATTAAAAAGACGACCACAAAATCTTCAGAGGCGCGGGGGGCCATTACACCCCCGGGCCTACGCTGACCCTCTCTAATGAACATTGCACAGTGTCGCCATCTCACTCCCACACCACCCTTGAGGACAACCGTCCCCTCTCGGATTTTCTATCATAACGATTGTTGACGTTGCAATTTTAAATATTGTGAAAAAGAAAACACCTTTTGTATTAATTATATTTCACATAACATATTAGTTAATCTTTTGTTCTACAGATACAAAAAATAATACAAACTAGATGAAATTTGTATGAGAAGTAATTTTTAAAACCACTTCTGTTAAAAATCATTTAACCACCTCATAATTAACGGCATTATCGTGTATATACGTATAAAACTTACAATCAATTAAAAAAAACCGATCAAGTGCGATTCGGACTCGCGCAACAAGGGTTCCGTACAAAATCATCGTGTTTAAATATGTTTTTATGAAAAAACTGTAAATTAACAGTTTTCAAATTTTTCTTTACTTGTGCTACATGACATTGCTTCTTGCCAAATTTCATGATTCTAAGTCAACAGGAAGTACCCTATAGATTTGGATTCCCTTTGCGAAGGTCAAAATATGCAATATACATGAAACATAAACGGCTGCAATTTTTTATTCCATCAATTTAGGAACTTGATTTTTTCATTGCTTTAAGAGATTGCAGACCTGAGTATATGGTATTAATTTCAACTTGATACCTCCACGCATTTCTAAGAAAAAGGGTCTTGATAGATGAACGGACGGACAACGAAGTGATCCTATAAGGGTTCCGTTTTTTTTTTCTTTGGATGTACATAACCCTAAAAATATGTGTAAAACATTAGATATGTCATTATCAAGAAAAGGTAGACATTTTTAAATTATATAAGTACAATACCTTCTAATTTGGGGGAATCTTCGTAATATATCAGCTAGTTTTAGAGGACCGATTGGCTTCTGTGAGATACTTTCCCATAAAATCAAATAGTGTTTCTTCCCTTTGCCATAGCACTGGCTCACTTTCACATTCTACCATGGCTCGAGCAAACCATACCTAATAAATATAACTATTATGTTACCAATATTAGTAACACTAAATACATTGCTTTATCTATCTAAAAATCGTTAAACTTAATCAATTCGCAGTGTGTGTTCCGACATAGAATGGGCCATCCATTCCTTTCCCGTAGGTGTCATCAAAGGCGACTAAGGGAGGCCGAGGAATGGGCAGCAGCGTCCCTCTTTAAACATCTGTAAAAGCCTAACTGCGGTTGGCAACCCGCCTGCCAAGCATGACAACTGCTGGCAAAACTCTCCTTATGGGGAAGGCTTATGTCCAGCAATAGACAGTTAACGGCTGAAATAATAATAAAAAATAATAATTAATCAATTCTTTGAAAAGA